CCAATGATCCTATACCCAGGAAAACTCTACATCAAATATAAAGGAGAAATTAGATACTTTGCAGGAAAGAAAGAACTTAAGGAATTTGTAAAAAAGAGATCAAACCCTCAGGAAATTTTAAGTGATGTCCTTCACACGGATACACCAAACAAAAGTGCATGTACCACAGAAACCAGAAACAAAGAAAAAGAAACACAGCAAAATGGCAGCAGTAAATCCCAGCCTTACAATAATCACTTTTAATGTGAATGGACTAAATGTACCAGCCAAGAAAAAAAGAGTAGTAGAATGGACAAAAAAACCAAACCCATCAATATGTCTCCTACAAGTGAGACATCTAAAAAAAGAAGAGAAAGGCCGACTCAAAATCAGAGACTGGAATACCAAGCAAAATGCAACATCAAAAAGCAGGAGAGGCAATAATACTCTGGTAAAACATACTTTAGAATGAAAACCACCATAAAAGATAAGGAAAAGCATTACATACTGATTAAAAGCACTATAGATCAAGAAGATATAACCTTGATCAACATTTATGCACCAAATGACAGACCTACAAAATACATAATAAAATGGTTAACAGAATTGAAGAAAGAAATAGCTCCACAATAGTGGTAGGAGATTTCAACACACCACTATCACCAAAAGATTGGTCAACTCAAAAGAAACTCAACAAAGATGCAGAAGATCTAAATTATACAATAATCCAGTTCAACCTTGTTGACCTATTCAGGGTATTGCATCCAAATTAAACTCAATTAACTTTCTTCTGAAGTGCCCGTGATACATTTTCCAGAATCAGTCATGTATTAGGACACAAAGCAAGCCCCAACAAATTAAAAAACTTCCAATACAAAGTATCTTCTTAGACAAAATTACATAAAACCAGAAATTAGCCACATGATGGTAGAGCTTACAACACCACCCACGTGGAAACTAAATAACTCTCTGCTAGAACATTATTGGGTTATAAAAGATATAAAGAATTGAAATAAAAAGTTGCTTGAAAGAAGTGAAAATGAAAATACTACCTTCCAAAAATTCTGGGATGCAGCTAAGACCGACCTGAGAAGACAGTTCATAGTAGTAAAAGGCACACACATAAAAAAGGAAGAAAGAAAAAAAACCAATACTCTAACTCGACACCTTTATCAAATAGAAAAAAATAAAAAATAAAAACCAACCCAACAATCTAATGCTACATTCTCTAGGAGAAAAGACATTCTAAGGGCAAGAGCTGAAATCAATGAGATAGAAAACAGAAAATAATTGAAACCATCAATAAGATCAGAAACTGGTTTTTCTAAACAGTCAATAATATTGACAAAACACTAGTAAACTTAACAAAGGAGGGGAAAAAGAAAGAAGACCCAGATAACTCGATTAAGAAATGATAGAGGTGACATCACAACAGAACCAGAGGTAATTAAATTGACAAAATAGGAATACTATGAAAAGCTATCTATACTCTGATAAATTCGAAAATCTAGAGGAAATGGGAAAATTCTTTGAAACTCATGCCCTACCCAGATTGACAACAGCAGGTACAGAACACTTGAACAGACCGATCACAAGAGAAGAAATTGAACAGGTAATCAAAAAACTTCCCCATAAGCAAAGTCCTGTACCAAGTGGCTTCACTGTTGAATTCTACCAAACATTCAGAAAGGAATATACCATCAATTCTACTTAAATGATCTAAAAAAAATGAAAAAGAAGGAACACTCCTCAGAGTCATTCTATGAAGCAACCATAACACTAATACCAAAACTACACAAAAATATTACCAAGAAAGAAATCTAGAGGCCACTATCTCTCATGAATATAGATGTAAAAATCCTTAAAAAATTTCTATCTAATAGAATCCAAACGCATATAAAACAAATAATTCATGGAGAATAGTAAATAACTTTTAAGTCATTATTTTGCAGACTAGAAAACACAGATTGAGATTGTTAACAACTTTAGTTTTCTTGGCTCCTCAGTCAACACTCTTGGCACCAGCAGCCAGGAATTAAAAAAATGTATTGCTATGGGAAAGTCTGCTGTTAGGGACCTCTCCAGAGTACTGAAGAGCAATGGTGTCACTCTGGAGACTAAGGCACGTCTGATACAGGCTATGGTCCTTATAATCACTCCTTATGCATCGGAGAGTTGGACAATGACTAGGGAGGATAGAAGGAGAATTGACACCTTTGAGCTGTGGTGCTGGAGAAAAGTATTGAATATACCATGGACTGCCAAGAAAACAAAGATTCATCCTAGAGAGAGTTAAACCAGGCTGCCCCTTGGAGGATCTTCGTCTGACATACTTTGGACATGTTGTAAGGAGGGAGAGGTCCTTGGAGAAGGACATCATGCTTGGGAGGGTGGCGGGATGGAGCAGGAGGGGAAGGCCCTCTATGAGGTGGATTGAGTCAGTGACTGGGGTAATCGGATGGGTTTGTCAGAGGAAGTGCGATTGGCACAGGATAGGGCAGGGTTTAGGGCTGTTGTTCATAGGGTCGCTATGAGTCGCAAGCGACTCGACAGCACATAACAACAATAACAGATAACACAGACAAAAAATTAGCTCTTCCAAAGTTCCCAGCTCAGTAATAGCACACCTATGCTAAAAACATAGATTTGTCAATATATTAAGACATATTGTAATCTTAATCACTTTACTCACAGAAAAACAAAAGATATAAAAGTATTTATGCATGTAAGAATAAGAATATTGTATATGCAAGTAGTTTGGGGAAACGATGCTATCAGTCATTTCAATAGTTTTGACAATGTATTTTTTTCATCACATTCCTGGAACCTGTGATAGCCAAGATATTTTTTTTAAAATATACCATGAACTCTGTGCAACTAGAAGAACACTCATAGAGTTATATGATTTCAGTTTTCCCACCTATTCAATATGCAAGAATAGGTCAGTAAAATATATGCAGAGTAAAGTCAAATAAATAGAAAATGCCTCCAAGGACTTTTATGAAATTTTGGTCTACAAAATTCTTTTTCTTAATATATAACATTTTAAAGATTCTAGAAAGCAGCAAATTTGTAGACTTAAAGTCACTAGTAGTATAAATAAGACTACTATTTTGATATCTCACTCACAAACATCAATAAAAAATATCTAATACTCATATAAACTATATACGCAAAACAATAAAATATAAGAGTGAAAATAAAGTTGCACAACGGAATAATTAAAGTTCTACCTCCTAAAAACAGAAAACAAATGTAATCAAGAACCGTTGATGAAAATTATTGCAGTAAATTTGTTTCATTGACAACTGTAAATAAAATATTTTACAATGTCAGCCACAAGTGTCTTAACTGTTTGTGCACTATGATTGCCACTAGGTGGCAGTGTAGACTATATGACTTTAATAAATAGCTATTACTTTTTTTAAAGAAAAAAACTGGGTGAAAAAAATAACTAGATACTTTAAAAAGATATTAAATTGACTCAACATCATAAATAACTTTCTTTACACTGTACATCTATGTCTCTATGTGTTGTTGTGTACCACTGAGTCAGAACTGACCCATAACCTTTGGTGTTTTCAGAGGCAATTAATCAAACCAGAGATTTCCCTTCCTTCTACCCCTGGAGCAGGTGGTAGATTCAAACCAGCTGCCTTCGGGGTTTGCAGCACAGCTTCTTACCATTATACCATGTTTCTATAGGTTTTTAAATGATACTTTTTTTTCCTTAAGCTTTGATGCCCAGGGCAGTGGAAATAATCTAATTTAGAATTAGAAGATAGAGTTAAATATAAAGAAAAAGAAAGTAAGGTTCAGTAAAATATCTAGGAAGATCTTAAACTTCAATTACAAGATATATTAATATAAAACTAGGTACCCAGTCAATTAGATAAAATGTGATTTTTTTAACACTAAGTTATAAATTTCTATTAAATGGTACATGTAGATCCAAGTGTTTTGATATGAACGATGAAAATTTTAAGAATTCGCTCTCTGTCCATACTGCACTGATCAAAACAAAACTTCTAGGTTTCTTTATAAATATTCAACAATATCAAAGATATTTAGAAAAATCGCTGCATGATACTGCTAATATTCACACAGTATTTATGAGAGATTTAATCTGCTAACTATCTTTGAGAAACATTTATTTTGCTGCTAATGAGCCAAATATATTAATTCACTGAATGAAAAACTTGTTCATAAAAGAAGTATGACCTTAGTTTGCTGACCTGTAGAGTGTGTGGCTTGAAAACCTTTTCTTTGAACAGATGCATCAGAAATAAATCTAACAAACATTTTGTTTCCAGTAGCAACAAGGGGTTCTGGTATCTTGTTACCACATAACCGTCCAAGAATTGGTGACTTGTCTGTTTCTCCATCAAACACTTCTAAGTGGTCATAAGCACATTCTTGATGTTGTTCAATCTCAAACTCACTGAAGACCTATAGAAGAGAAAATAGAAAGACAATAGAGGGAGAGATAATGTGATATTAAGAAGGGGAGAGAAGGGAAAAGAGAAGAGGATAGTGAAAGAGAGCAAGAAAAGATATGAGGAGGAGAGAAGAGGAAAAGGAGAGAAATATGTACAAATAATTAAAATTATCAGAAAAAATTGCATAAATAAATACTAGTAAGATGTATTCTAGGCCTATAAATTTTGTCTCATATAAAAATGACAGAAAAAAAAAAAAACCCAGACAAGCAAAGCCCCTAAAACCCATTGTTCTTGATTTGGAACTTACTCATGGTTGATACTCTAGTGGGTTTTCATAGATGATAAATTGCATGGGAGGAGATAGCCTGTGTTTCTTCCATGGAGTATTTTGTAGATTTGAACCTTCTGCCTTTGGATGGGAAGCACAACTCTGACGAGGTCGCCAGAGCTATTTGAGACCCTTTGATTCATACAGCACATTATAAAAAAGCGTTGTTGTTGTTGTTTTGTGCCAACAAGTTGCTCGCAACTCCTAGTGACCTTATGTACAACAGTTCTGAACACTGCTCTATCCTGAGCCATCCTTATTATCTGTACTATACCTATCACCATTATCCCAGTCACTCGGTCAATCCATCTCATTCCTCTCTTGCGCTGTTCCTCCACCCTCCCAAGGATGATGTCTATTTCCTTCTCAAGGACTGGTCCCTCCTTGCAACATGCCCAAAGTATGTCAGACGAAGCTTAAAAAAAATCTCTTCTCTCCAAGGAGCACCCTGGGTTCACTCTAGGATTAACCTGTTTATTTTCCTTCAAGTCCATATTCAATACTCTTCTCCAGCACCACAGCTCAAAGGCATCAATTCTCCTTCTTTCACCCCTACTCATTGCCCAGCTTTCTGATGCATAGCAAATAATTGCAAAGACTATGGCTTGGATCAGGTGCACCTTAGTTGCCTGACACTGTTGCTCTTCAGTAATCTGGAGAGGTCACTCACAGCACACTTTCCCAAGGCAATT